ACACTTAGTGTGTGCGCTAGTGTACGATCGAGAGATAGCAGCGCTCGTGGAAGGGGTTCCAGCGGATACGCGCGTGTCCGAGAAGCTCCGATCACATATCCACCTACTGAGCACGAATGCTTTGTACAGGAAGGCGTACTACTCGTCCGCCAGCGTGGCTGACTGGGCGGCGATTGAGCGGTTTTTCTACTCAGGGGCTCACCCGTCCTGCGGAGACATATCTCCTCCAGTACTAAGGGCACTCCACGGGTACTCCTCACGTCGCTGTCTACGGATGCGACGCTCTCGAGCGCGGACGCATACGGTCGCAGCGCATTGCTTCATACCATCCTGGGATCCACTTCTCGCCACACAAGTCAGAGGACGGCGAATCAGAGGCTTCTGACCCACAATGTCCTCGGCTTCACACAGGCCAAACGGATCAATGGATGACGGCCTGGCGTCGGACTCCAGTGAGCTCTAGGCCTCTAGCTTGGGTGCATACAGGAAACTCATGTCACGAGCGCCGAGGAAGCAGCGGACCTGCGGCAGGAATGGCGCCGGTTGCGGGGAAAGCATCGCGACTCCGGTCAGGCGCCCATGTCCTTTTGGACGGTAGGGTCCTCTAAGACCAGTGGTGTGGCCATTTTACTCACTCCGACAGCCGCTACGGGGGCCGTTGCGTGGAATGAAGACAAATGGCATTCTCGCGCTATTGGGATTACAGTGCAGGACTTATGTATCTTAAATGTTTACGCCCCCAATCTCAGGGAGAGCGCGAGGCTTTTTCACGAGTCTTCACGGGTGGAACTTGCCGCTGGGGAGAACAGCCTTGCTAGGGGATTTTAATTGCGTGCAGAGTCCTCAACTGGGATCGACTAGGTTCTCGAATTGCTAGTAGGACGGAAAGTCCTGCGCTGGAAAAGTTACTCGAGACGTCTAGGCTGAGTGATGCTCGTCTTATGAGGTATCATGCAGACGAAGAGGAAGAGGATTTGACTGATCACTACACATACTGGACTGCCGAAACATCCAGCCGGATCGACCGAATCTACGTGTCCGAATACTGGGCATCGACAGTTCTATGAGTGTCCGCCACTCCTCCCTCTGTCTACTCTGATCACCAACAGGTCGTTCTTCATTTACGGCTCCGTCAATCCAAACCCACAACCTCCGCCAGAGCGCGTGTTGTGTATCCTATCGAGTCAAATCAACAGGACCGGGTCTTAAGAGATCTATTACGAGAAATGGAAGACTCGCGGGTGGGTCACGCGCCTACAGTACAGTCTTGGGACACTACCGTGAACCGGTGCGTCCGCTGTTTAACCGTGGTAAATAAACGGGGAAAAGCAGCGGCTACGGCGCTTTATCTCGAAAATACGACAGCGAGGGAGGCGGCTGTTTTTCACCAGGCGTCATTGGATAGCGGCCAATGTGGAGGAAATGCGGGAGGATCATTTAGTGCGTCTCGGCGAGCAGTTAGAGAGAGTCTACCGAGCGTCTTCGGTGGTCTTACAAGCGGGTAGCCAATTGGGAACGGGACCAACGTGTCTCCTCGTTGACAGCACGCTATGGGCACGCATTCACACGACATATGTCCCTGGCAGATAGATTTGCGTCGGAGTGGGAGTCCGTGTTAAGCGCCAGCCATCGCAAGGAGCCACTGGACTCGTTGCCCGCGGCGATCCGTGATTTCGCGACGATCCCACATGTGCAAGTGCTCACTCCACTCGATAATGAACGCCTGCTGCTACCGATAACGTAGGACGAGGTGCTTTCAGCCGTCCGAGGGCTGAGTCGGTATAAAGCGGCGGGTCCCGATGGTCTCAATAATGATTTTTACAAAGATACAGCAGCGCTGATGGTGCCGGCGCTTGTAGCTATCGGCAACCAGGTTCTAGCGGGGGCCGACCTACCCCCCTTCATTTCTGTCGGCTTCAATTATTCCGCTTATGAAGAAAGGTGACTCCGATGACGCCATGGATTATTGACCGATCTCTTTATTACAAACCGGGTACAAGGTTTTTGCCAAGGTGCTAGCTACGAGGGTGTAGGTGTGTTTACCGCGTATCATTAGTGACTCCCAACAAGGTTTTGTTCACGGGCGCCGTATGACCAAGACGGTGATGATGATGATGGCCCAACTAACGACGGCGACGGAGCAGATCGACTTGACGGCGGAAGACAGTCGCTGTATCTTATTACTCGACTTTCGGAAGGCCTACGATACTGTGGACCGAGATTTCTTATACGAGTCCATGCGTCTATTTGGTTTTTTACAGAAAGCTTTATTGACCTCATCTGTCGGATCCACACGGGCACGACTGCAACTTTTGTCGTTACTGGAGGTCAATCCTCCGCGCTCCCGGTGCGTTCCGGAATCCGGCAAGGCTGCCCGCTTGCGCCTCTCCTCTTTTACTCGTAGTAGAGGTATTAGGGCTCGCCCTCAAGCAAGACCCGTCACTCAAAGGATTGCCAGTGCCTGGGACTGTCGACCGGACTCATCTCTTTTCGGCGTTCGTCGATGACTCAACGCTCTTTTTGGACACGGCAAAACAAATCCTCCATGCTCTCGGAATTATTCAAGCGTTTGGGAATCTGTCAGGCCTTCATGTGCAACCGGCAAAGAGCAAGCTTCTTTTTGAACCGGGCCATCTCCAGAGCGAGCTTTGCCGGTATAGACATCGTGCCCCTCCGGCGCCACTACCAGGTACCTTGGGTACGAGATCGGGACCGGGCCTCTGGACAACAAAAATTGGGCTCATCGGATCCGGACAATTCAGCGCCGCCTCCTCACTGTGACGCGGGTGGCGACAAGCGTTGAGAACAGGGTACTCATCCTGAACTCCATTGTTCTCCCCTCCTTGCTATTTACGGCGTCCGTCTTCTACGTCCCTCGATGGGCGGAAAAAGAGGTGCATAATTCATACAAGAACTTTCTATGGGAGCACGCGACTGTGACCGACAATAGCCGCCACAAGGTCAACCCAGGCCTGCTAGTGACGCCCAAACAGGCTGGGGGGGATTAACCTTATCGATGTCTCGGTAGCTGTCAAGACTCAACGGACGAAGCATGCGATTAGTTGGCTAACGCAGCGCCAGGACAAGTATTTTGACGCATGGCGAGTATGGGCTTTTGGGAGAGCCTCCGGGTACTGCGAAGAAAATTTCACCAGCTACGGCTACTAGGAGGGCGGAGTCACGATGTAGCCGCTCTAAGTACCAGGCACTGACGCAGGAGCTTGGAGAATGGCTCGCACCTACACCAGCACAACTTGACAGCCTGAAGTCGTGGATCGTCAGTCAATCGCCGGCTCTGCTTGAACGGGCCGCCAGCTGGTGGGAAGGGGAGGATTACGTATTGTCGTATTATCAAGCCTTTCCTCGGCGGCCGGTGGGGGCCGATGACTTTCCACTAGAAATTCAGCGGTTTTGGCACACCTTTAATTGGAGTGCAAACCCCTGGATCCGGGATATGAGCGGTAATCTGCTGACACGCAGAAAGTACGATCGGATAGCAGTATGCTCTCTGGAAGTGCTTAACATAGTGCACAGGTCCGGCAGAATTTGTGATGACTGTGCCTCTGCCGCTACACCACCCAGGCCCTCACTCAGGAGCCAAATTAAGGCGGTGGGCGACAGCCTTGCTCTTATCCTCACCCTAATTACAAATTGGAGAGGCTCTAAACACGCCACCAGCACTCCGACCCCGACACGAGCCTCCGTTCTCGGTCAGCTTTGACTGGAGGCTGAACAGCGCTGGCAGCATTGAAGGTCGGCCATCGTCCAGTTCGAGGAGCCCACCCACGTCTTTCACTCTACACCAAGCCAGTGACGGGCTGCGATGGTTTTTCAGGGATCGGTGCCGGAGTTAATTGCCGAGTCCGACATCGCTCGACAGGCGCTTACCCGCGAGCTCTTGACAGGAGGGCTCGTTGTTGAAGCGAACCCGCAGCTTCACCATTTTCCTTGGTCCGTTCTGGACAAAACGTCCAACATTCACATCGTTCAGAACTCGGTCGCCAGGCTTTCCAGTTTCACAAGAAAGTATTTGCCCGCCCCCTGAAGGATTTTATCTCACGTCTCGACGACAGGGCTCTCATCGACAAGTGGCAGAGTGCCGCTCTCAGGCAATCTCCGCGGCAAGTGTGGGGTCATTGTCACGGACTCTCTCCATATCAAGTCTGGACAGGGTATCGGGTCGCGACGCGCCAGCTCAACCTGTACCATGCGGCGCGTCCTGTGGACAATAGTTGCCGGAAGGCACCAGCCTGTCACGGATGTCAAGGGACGATCATGCATGTCTTTTGGGAGTGCAACAGCGCAACTGCCCTATGGATTAAACTGATTGAGCACTGGACCGGGGAACGCGCTCCCGCGAGCGGACCCAACAATTCTTGGTCGCCTGCGCCAGTCGCCAGGCCCACACGATACAGTCACACCGGATGAAAATCTTAAACGACCGATTTCAAGACGACGTAGCTGCGGCCATCCGCGTATGGAAAGAAATATGGCACATCCTGGCGACGACGTGTCAGACAAGGATATGGACAGACCGGAATGCGGCGGTCTTCCGGAGCAGAGTCTATCGATATTACTAGGGGTACCGAAAATTTCTGGGCCTCGTGCATCCGCCAGCTTCGAGCTATAGCGCAGAGGCGGCATCGAAAAGTAGCAACAGCAATTACCGGGGCAGTGCTTTATGCATGCATCGAGTTATTGGAAACCGAACCAAGAGGGTTGCCAGTGGTCACTGGCACCAGCGACGAAGAGCCCCCGGGTACCCCGGCGCTTACGTCCTGGCTTAGTTCATACCAGAGATCTTGCACGTAGTTTAAGCTAAGTAAATAGACACTCTGAAACTCTCTCTCTCTCATAAGAGTCGGCGTGGTCGTTTGTTGGGATGACGCATCCCCAGGCCCCCGATGTGAATGACCTCACAGACGGTGTCGACTGACAGCTCGCAGTAGTCGCCGACACTGTCGCGAGTGACATTCGAGTCACAGTCGGCGATCGCCACATCACCCTTTGACAGGGCACGAGGATCCGGCAGGCGACGAGCCTTCGCCGCTGCAGACGGGCCCGTCGATGCAGTAGGTGGCGTCACGCTCGACGCTGATTGGCCAGCAGCCGAGGTCCTCGTCGTACTTGGGGGTACCAGCTGATGCTGGCAAGGCCGCAGAAAGACTAAAGATCGAGAAAACCAAGACTTTCATGGTTGCTGCTGGACGGTTGAATGCGCTGAGCGAGGACTCGAGCTGTCGAGTGGTGGAGGTGGAGGTGATGGTGACTCGCCTTTGCTGCAAGTTGCAGAATGAAATGAGCGGAGGCGTCTGCTTCTTCTTCTTCCCCTTGTAGCTAGCAGCCCGTGGTGCTGTCGAGATGCAGGAGGCAACTCCAGAACGAAGGTCGATGGTGCGGATCTGGACCAAAGACTGACCAGTGCAGCGAGGTGTTGCCCCCGATGGTTCTACCGCACGCGTGTGAGTCAAAGTTGCCTCTTTTGTTCTGGCCAAGTTGCCGTGAAACATTGTTTGGTGGTTGTGATGCACCATATTGTCGTGAGAAGGTCGCGACGAGTGTTTCAGTATGTTGCGGCAGCAGCTTTCAGGATACGAATGAATGACTCGGGTTTGTGACGAAAATCGAATCGAACGATAAATTCCACCATATGGCGACGAACGGTCTTGTAGGTGGCATGCAAAGAGATTGCTACTGCGACCGTTCTCGACGTCGCCAGACGCAGAGCAACTGGTAAACTGTGAATCACCAAAGTTTCGTTGCTCTCTGCCCTCTCTCTCTTTCTCTGGCGCGCGCTTCGTGCTTGCTTGTTGTTTCATTGGCATCGACGTGTTGGCGGCACTACAAACGAGACGCCGGAACTGAATATGTACTCATTGACGCGGAACCTCATGGAGGCAAACGTTGACGCAGAACCTCACCAAGGCACGCCACTATTTGGATGGTAAAGTCTCCAATGGGTTCAAACAATTCATCGTAGTAGATGGAAATGTGATACACAACACCCAAAAGCCTGAATCAACTCTGATTTTCGCCTTCTGTCACCTGCATATGACAGCCGCTATCCATACGAGGCATGCATTTGTTGCCGGGCACCAGTCGCTAAGATTCATAGCGATCAGCGACTTCGATGCCCGGATGTTTCTTTCAAACCCTTTTTAGGCGTGAAGCAGAATCATCCCCTTGATTGGGTAGCCCGCACGGCGTGGCAACCAAAGGTAGTCGTGCTACTACGTAACAGGCAGGCCAATGCATTTACTTTGCTGTCTTTCCCTTGAAGTACTTCTGCTTTAGCTGTAGGTGCTTCAGCCAGTCGGATTGCAGCGTTGAAAACCCAATTTAGCAAGCTGCCAAGTGCTTGTCCTCTTTAAACTTTCGTGATTACTTGGAGAAGATCATAGCAGAGGGTTATTTCATTCAACCGGTCATGTTCCTCGTAGTCTTATGTGCGATCTGGATGACATAGCATGTCGAGGGCTTATGCAAATCGCATCGACGCTGACACCATTTTGCAAGCTCAGCTTTACGTCCGGTTAGGTGTCCTCCATTCAGTCTTAACCCCTGGTAGGGTATCGAACGGGGCGTCTACCGATCGCTGGTAAGTGTCAGGTTTTGAGCGATCTGAGTAATCCCTAACCCTCTTTCGAGTTACTTCAGAACAGAAACAGAGAAATGTAGATACCTATCGAGTTACACCAGCCACAGAGTGCCAAGTGCTTTTAGTATCACCAAGTGGAGTGACTGGGTAAGTTGCATCCGACCATCACGTCCTGCAATAGTAGTAGACGTTAGTCCATCCCAGACGACTGAGCACAAAGCATTAAACTATGCTGCGCTCCTTTGATCGACCGTGCGCATGACCTTAGCATGTGTTCGATAACCAACGTCCATTCGGATGGAAAGTGCTACCCGAGGGCTCATGAAGAACGAATGATGACAACGCCAAACATTTGGTCCAGTTTTGCTAATGGTAGAAAGCGTGCCACCCTTGAGTTCTCGGTATCGTATGTGATAGCGTTTGGGGGGGGCAGCTATCACGTTTGCATGAAGGGCGGAAAGATCCCGCCATTCCTTCCGATATCAGTCGATACGGTCATCAACGAGTAATTGGTCAACTGATCGCAGGGACAACAGCTCTCTTGCCCTGTTTCTACCAACAGCTATACGAATGTGTCTGTCCTCATCGACCTACTGCGTCCCGACAGTTTCGTAGTCGGAAGCTTGTCGAAAAATGAGTTGGAATACATGTTGATGGAAAGGTATCCGTTTATGCCTTGGATATAGGGACCGTCGTTGTAGCTACCACTTTTCGTAGCTACCGCTGTTGTGGTGGTCACCGTTGTAGCTACCTTCTCCATAGCCACCGCTCTTGTGGTGGTCGCTGGTGGGTGGCCACCTTCGTATCTGTCGCTGTTGTTCTTCTTGTCGTCATCGTCGTTCTTGTCGTTGTTGTTGTTCTTGTGATCGTCGTTCTTGGCCTTGTTGTCGTTCTCGCCGTCGTAATTGGTGTACTCGTTCTCTCCGTAGCTGTTGCTGTTGTGGTTGTTGCTGTTGTGGTGGTGGTCGCTCATGTGGTCCCCGCTGTTGTACTTACCCTCTCCATAGCTGTCGCTGTTTTGTCGATCGCTCGTGTGGTCCCCGCTGTTGTACTTACCCTCTCCATAGCTGTCGCTGTTTTGTCGATCGCTCATGTGGTGGCCGTTGTTGTGTTCGTCATCACCTTCGTAGCTGCCGCGGATGTAGCTGCCACTGTCGCTGTTATAGTAGGACGAGTCTTGGTTCTGACTACCGTAGTGGGAGTCATCGCCATGGTGGGAGTGTCGGTCTTTGGAGTTACCGTAGTGGGAGTTACGGTGGTGATGGGCACCGCGGTGCGAGTTACGGTGATGCGAGTTACGGTCGTGCGAGTTACGGTCGCGCGAGTTACGGTGGTGCGGACGGTTATGTTTAGAAGCGTCGGCGTGGTCGTTTGTTGGGATGACGCATCCCCAGGCCCCCGTGTGAATGACCTCACAGACGGGAGTGTCGACTGACAGCTCGCAGTAGTCGCCGACACTGTCGCGAGTGACATTCGAGTCACAGTCGGCGATCGCCACATCACCTTTGACAGGGCACGAGGATCCGGCAGGCGACGAGCCTTCGCCGCTGCAGACGGGCCCGTCGATGCAGTAGGTGGCGTCACGCTCGACGCTGATTGGCCAGCAGCCGAGGTCCTCGTCGTACTTGGGGGTACCAGCTGATGCTGGCAAGGCCGCAGAAAGACTAAAGATCGAGAAAACCAAGACTTTCATGGTTGCTGCTGGACGGTTGAATGCGCTGAGCGAGGACTCAAGCTGTCGAGTGGTGGAGGTGGAGGTGGTGGTGACTCGCCTTTGCTGCAAGTTGCAGAATGAAATGAACGGAGCGTCTGTTTCTTCTTCTTCCCCTTGTAACTAGCAGCCCGTGGTGCTGTCGAGATGCAGGAGACAACTCTAGAACGAAGGTCGATGGTGCGGATCTGGACCAAAGACTGATCAGTGCAGCGAGGTGTTGCCCCCGATGGTTCTACCGCATGCGTTTGAGTCAAAGTTGCCTCTTTTGTTCTGGCCAAGTTGCCGTGAAACATTGTTTGGTGGTTGTGGTGCACCATATTGTCGTGAGAAGGTCGAGACGAGTGTTTCAGTATGTTGCAGCAGCAGCTTTCAGGATACGAATGAATGACTCGGGTTTTGTGACGAAAATCGAATCGAACGATAAATTCCACCATATGGCGACGAACGGTCTTGTAGGTGGCAGTCAGAAATGCAACGATTGCTACTGCGACCGGTCTTGACGTCGCCAGAGCGCGGTGCAACTGGGGAACTGTGAATCACCAAAGTTGCGTTTCTTTCCACTCTCTCTCTCGCTGGCGCGTGCCTGCGTGGTTGTTGTTTCATTGGTATCGACGTGTTGGCGGCACTACAAATGAGACGCCAGAACTGAATATGTACTCATTGACGCGGAACCTCATGGAGGCAAACGTTAACGCAGAACCTCATCGACGCTCGCCACCATTAGGATGGTAGAGTCTCCAATGGCTCAAACGATTCATCGTAGTAGATGGAAATGTGATATGCAACACCCGAAAAGCCTGAGTCAATTCTGATCTACGCCTTCTGTCGCCCGCACATGACAACTACTGTTCATACAAGGCATGCATTTGTTACCGGGCACCAGTCGCTAAGATTCATAGCGATCGGCGACTTCGATGCCGGGATGTTTCTTCCAAACGTTTTTAGGCGTGAAGTAGAATCATCCCTTTATTGGGTAGCTCGCACCATGTGGCAACCAAAGATCGTCGTGCTACTACCTAACAGGCAGGCCAATGCATTTACTTTGCCGTTTTCCTTGAAGTACTTCTGCTTTAGCTGTAGGTGCTTCGGCCAGTCCGGATTGCAGTGTTGATAACCCAATTTGGCGTGGTGCTTGCCGAAATGCTTGTCCTCTTTCCAACTCTTGCGATTACTTGGACAAGGTCATAGCAGAGGGTTATTTCATTTGGCCGGTCATGTTTCCTCGTAGTCTTATGTGCGATCTGATGACATAGCATGTCGAGGGGTGATCGTACCAATCACGCATCGACGCTTACACCATTTTGCAAGAAGCACAGCTCTGCATCTGGTTAGGTGTCATCCATTCAGTCTTAACCTCTGGTAGGGTATCGAACAGGGCGTCTACCGATCGCTGGTAAGTGTTAGGTTTTGAGCGATCTGAGTAATCTCTAACCCTCTTTCGAGTTACTTCAGAACAGAAATACAGAGAAATGTAGATGCTCATCGAGTTGCACCAGCCACAGAGTGCCAAGTGCTTTTAGTATCACCAAGTGGAGTGACTGGGTAAGTTGCATCCGACCATCAGGTCATGCAATAGTAGCAGACGTTAGTCCATCCCAGACGACTGAGCAGAAAGCATTAATCTATGCTGCGCTCGTTTGATCGACCGTGCGCATTACCTTAGCATGTGTTCGATAACCAACGTCCATCTTGATGGAAAGTGCTACCCGAGGGCTCATGAACAACGAATGGATGACAACGCCAACCATTTGGTCCAGTTTTGCTAATGGTAGAAAGCGTGCCACCCTTGAGTTCTCGGTATCGTATGATAGCGTTTGGGGGCAGCTATCACGTTTGCATGAAGGGCGGAACGATCCGCCACTTCCTTCCGATATCAGTCGATACGGCCATCACCGAGTAATTGGTCAACTGCTCGCAGGGACAACAGCTCTCTTGCCCTGTTTCTACCAACAGCTATACGAATGTGTCTGTCCTCATCGACCTACTGCGTCCCGACAGTTTCGTACTCGGAAGCTTGGCAAAAAAAAGGAGTTGGAAGACATGTTGATGGAAAGGTATCCGTTTACGCCTTGGTTAAAGGTACCGTTGTTGTAGCTACCACTTTTCGTAGCTACCGCTGTTGTGGTGGTCACCGTTGTAGCTACCCTCTCCATAGCCACCGCTCTTGTGGTGGGTGGGGGGGGGGGGGGGGGGGGGGGGGGGGGTCCGCTGGTGTGGTGGCCACCTTCGTATCTGTCGCTGTTGTTGTCCTTGTTGTCGTCGTCGTTCTTGTCGTTGTTGTTGTTCTTGTCATCGTCGTTCTTGGCCTTGTTGTCGTTCTTGCCGTCGTGATTGGTGGACTCGTTCTCTCCGTAGCTGTTGCTGTTGTTGTTGTTGCTGTTGTGGTGGTGGTCGCTCATGTGGTCCCCGCTGTTGTACTTACCTCTCCATAGCTGTCGCTGTTTGTGGATCGCTCATGTGGTCACCGCTGTTGTACTTACCCTCTCCATAGCTGTCGCTGTTTTGTCGATCGCTCATGTGGTGGCCGTTGTTGTGGTTCGTCATCACATTCGTAGCTGCCGCTGTTGCTGCCACTGTCGCTGTTATAGTAGGACGAGTCTTGGTTCTGACTACCGTAGTGGGAGTCATCGCCATGGTGGGAGTGTCGGTCTTTGGAGTTACCGTCGTGGGAGTTACGGTGGTGATGGGCACCGCGGTGCGAGTTACGGTGAGTGCGAGTTACGGTCGTGCAGAGTTACGGTCGCGCGAGTTACGGTGGTGCGGACGGTTATGTTTAGAAGAGTCGGCGTGGTCGTTTGTTGGGATGACGCATCCCCAGGCCCCCGTGTGAATGACCTCACAGACGGTGTCGACTGACAGCTCGCAGTAGTCGCCGACACTGTCGCGAGTGACATTCGAGTCACAGTCGGCGATCGCCACATCACCTTTGACAGGGCACGAGGATCCGGCAGGCGACGAGCCTTCGCCGCTGCAGACGGGCCCGTCGATGCAGTAGGTGGCGTCACGCTCGACGCTGATTGGCCAGCAGCCGAGGTCCTCGTCGTACTTGGGGGTACCAGCTGATGCTGGCAAGGCCGCAGAAAGACTAAAGATCGAGAAAACCAAGACTTTCATGGTTGCTGTTGGACGGTTGAATGCGCTGAGCGAGGACTCGAGCTGTCGAGTGGTGGAGGTGGAGGTGGTGGTGACTCGCCTTTGCTGCAAGTTGCAGAATGAATTGAACGGAGCGTCTTCTTCTTCTTCTTCCCCTTGTAACTAGCAGCCCGTGGTGCTGTCGAGATGCAGGAGACAACTCTAGAACGAAGGAGAACGGTGCGGATCTGGACCAAAGACTGACCAGTGCAGCGAGGTGTTGCCCCCGATGGTTCTACCGCACGCGTGTGAGTCAAAGTTGTCTCTTTTGTTCTGGCCAAGTTGCCGTGAAACATTGTTTGGTGGTTGTGATGCACCATATTGTCGTGAGAAGGTCGAGATGAGTGTTTCAGTATGTTGCAGCGTGGCAGCTTCAGGATACGAATGAATGACTCGGGTTTCGTGACGAAAATCGAATCGAACGATAAATTCCACCATATGGCGACAAACGGCCTTGTAGGTGGCAGTCAGAAATGCAACGATTGCTACTGCGACCGGTCTTGACGTCGTCAGAGCGCGGTGCAACTGGGGAACTGTGAATCACCAAAGTTGCGTTTCTTTCCACTCTCTCTCTCGCTGGCGCGTGCCTGCGTGGTTGTTGTTTCATTGGTATCGACGTGTTGGCGGCACTACAAATGAGACGCCAGAACTGAATATGTACTCATTGACGCGGAACCTCATGGAGGCAAACGTTAACGCAGAACCTCATCAAGGCACGCCACCATTAGGATGGTAGAGTCTCCAATGGGTCAAACGATTCATCGTAGTAGATGGAAATGTGATATGCAACACCCGAAAAGCCTGAGTCAATTCTGATCTACGCCTTCTGTCGCCCGCACATGACAACTACTGTTCATACAAGGCATGCATTTGTTACCGGGCACCAGTCGCTAAGATTCATATCGATCAGCGACTTCGATGCCCGGATGTTTCTTTCAAACCCTTTTTAGGCGTGAAGCAGAATCATCCCTTTATTGGGTATCTCGCACCATGTGGCAACCAAAGATAGTCGTGCTACTACCTAACAGGCAGGCCAATGCATTTACTTTGCTGTCTTTCCTTGAAGTACTTCTGCTTTAGCTGTAGGTGCTTCGGCCAGTCGGATTGCAGTGTTGATAACCCAATTTGGCGTGCCGCCAAATGCTTGTCCTCTTTTTAAACTTGCGATTACTTGGAGAAGATCATAGCAGAGGGTTATTTCATTCAACCGGTCATGTTCCTCGTAGTCTTATGTGCGATCTGATGACATAGCATGTCGAGGGTTATGCAAATCGCATCGACGCTGACACCATTTTGCAAGCACAGCTCTACATCCGGTTAGGTGTCATCCATTCAGTCTTAACCTCTGGTAGGGTATCGAACGGGACGTCTACCGATCGCTGGTAAGTGTTAGGTTTAGAGCAATCTGAGTAATTTCTAACCCTCTTTCGAGTTACTTCAGAACAGAAACAGAGAAATGTAGATGCCCATCGAGTTACACCAGCCACAGAGTGCCAAGTGCTTTTAGTATCACAAAGTAGAGTGACTGGGTAAGTTGCATCCGACCATCAGGTCATGCGATAGTAGCAGACGCTAGTCCATCCCATGCGACCGAGCAGAAAGCATTAAACTATGATGCGCTCGCTTAATCGACCGTGCGCATTACCTTAGCACGTGTTCGATAACCAACGTCCATCTTGATGGAGAGTGCTACCCGAGGGCTCGTGAAGAACGAATGAATGACAGCGCCAACCCCTTGGTCCAGTTTTGCTAATGGAAAAAGCGTGCCAGCCTTGAGTTCTCGTTATCGTATGATAGCGTTTGGGGGGCAGCTATCACGTTTGCATGAAGGGCGGAAAGATCCGCCACTTCCTTCCGATATCAGTCGATGCGGCCATCAACGAGTAATTGGTCAACTGATCGCAGGGACAACAGCTCTCTTGCCCTGTCATCTATCAACAGCTATACGAATGTATCTGTCCTCATCAACCTACTGCATCCCAACAGTTTCGTAGTCGGAAGCTTGTCGAAAAAAGGAGTTGGAAGACAATTTGATGGAAAGGTGTCTGTTCATGCCTTGGTTAAAGGTGCCGTTGTTGTAGCTACCACTTCTCGTAGCTACCGCTGTTGTGGTGGTCGCCGTTGTACCCCTCTCCATCCCCGTTTTGCCCTCTCCATAGCCACCGCTCTTGTGGTAATCGCTGGTGCGGCGGCCACCTTCGTATCTGTCGCTGTTGTTGTTCTTGTCGTCGTCGTCGTTCTTGTTGTTGTTGTTGTTCTTGTCATCGTTGGTGTTGTCGTTCTTGCCGTCGTGATTGGCGGACTCGTTCTCTCCGTAGCTGTTGCTGTTGTGGTTGTTGCTGTTGTGGTGGTGGTCGCTCATGTGGTCCCCGCTGTTGTACTTACCCTCCATAGGCCCTCTCCATAGCTGTCGCTGTTTTGTCGATCGCTCATGTGGTGGCCGTTGCTGTGGTCGTCATCACCTTCGTAGCTGCCGCGGATGTAGCTACCACTGTCGCTGTTATAGTAGGACGAATCTTCGTTCTGACTACCGTAGTGGGAGTCATCGCCATGGTGGGAGTGTCGGTCTTTGGAGTTACCGTAGTGGGAGTTACGGTGGTGATGGGCACCGCGGTGCGAGTTACGGTGGTGCGAGTTACGGTGATGCGAGTTACGGTGGTGCGGACGGTTGTGTTCATAAGAGTCGGCGTCACTCTTCTATTTGCGACGCAGTGATCTTATCGGATCACAGAGGAGTTTAAACCCGTTTTTATTGGCTCACAGCGAGCGGCGTCCAGGCGCTATGCAGCCCCTAGATCTCCCCCGGGAGGTGGGGATGACCCGGGAGGGGGCATCTACCCTACCCGAGGAGCCTACTGTGCCTCGTCCAGGTACAGTCTGCGCGTCGACGGATAGCGACGAGAGTCGAATGACTCAGCCGGTGGAAGCGGCAAGGCCGGGCGCCAGCATATCGGCCTTACCACCGCTTCCAGGGGCCATCCAGGAGGATTCACAGGGACCGACGGCTGATGACGACCACCCCATGCTCGGTGACGAAGGCATGCCGATTGGATGCCTTAGCACAGCCGGTCCACTTGAGTCGGCTTTTCCCCTTCAACGCGAGCCTAGCGCTTCGGCGGTTAAAGGAGTAAACTCTCAGGACGGCAGTGACAGGTCCAACGGGACAGCGCCACCGGCAGCTCCTGAGCCCGACCCCACGGACGGCCAGTCGCCCTCCCCTCCTCCGCGACAGGCCCCCATCCGGCAGGTTTCGTCAGAGGCCATGTTTTCTGCTTTGGTTGGGGACATGAAGGAATCACCGAATGTCGGACACGTCGAGGCCTGGATCCAAACGATCAGGCAGCTTTTCGCGGAGGCCTACGCGACAGTCCCAGTTCTTTCCGAGGAGCTGCCGGCGGATAGAAAACGTTTCCCGACTTTGAGTGAAGCCGAAGCGTCCAGTCTACTAGGCTTTTTTGAACAAGCGTTTGTCAACACCACGGGACGCTTTGAGGAATGAAAAAAACTAGCGTCGACCATTACGCGGGAGCTTTTTACCACTAAGTGGGCTTTCCGAGAGATAGTACGCAGACTTGCGAGCCAGCATAAGTGGGCGCACGCGCCAGTGCTCCATCAATGGGCGGCTGTTGTTCGCACAGGCCTGACTCCATCAGCGGCTCCACCGCCGCCACGAAAAGCGAAATATGAGGAATTCATGTTTAATCCCGCTAAGTTTTCCGGGGTGGAGATCGCGCGGCTCCGAGCTGTATGCGCGTCGCCGCAGGCCCCGGCAGGACAACACCAAGTCCGTAAGGGAACAGACGATGAATGGAAGATTGTCTTGGGTTTAATCGAGGGCACCATAGCATGCCGCAACATGCCGGCTTTTCTTCCGCACATCCTCCGAAGTGAGGAATGCCTCAGACTGGTTTCTACGATTCAGGCTCAGGTAGAAGGCGAATTGATTATGCAATTGGGGCGCTCTGGGGGTGTCCGGGTTACCCGACAGAGTACGAAAGCTATCACCGAGCGGATCCTGGAATCGGCGGAGCTGGCGCGAGTAAACTTACCTGCGCTACACAACATGCTAGGCCAGACGAAGACGATCAGCTACGATCAAGTAACGAAGTCGATTCACTTCTATTTCTTTACCAGAGAAACTGCCGAGAAGCACAAGGAGGTGCGGGTGCCTTTTTCGGGAGGAGTATACCGGCTCCTGAATGCCCACCGAGCAGCGGCCGGCCCGATATGGGACCGACAGCGGGGGCTTAATGGACAACCACAAGGCCGGCGAGTGGAATACACGATTCTGCTTCTCAATGTAACTCGGTTTGTCGACATAGGCCGGATTGCAGCTTTTTTGAAGGAGAAGATTTTGACGGAATTCGTGATGGAGGACCTGGACACGCATACCCCCGATTCCAGGACATCGACAATATGGAGGGTAACCTTCAAACTAGCGGGCTGTCCGACTTTCCTCGACGGCATTGTTCGGTTGTTATGGTTCGGGACGACCATAATTGTTAAGCCTCCGAATGTCGGCAGGCGGCTGCAGTGTCTTCAATGTGGCAACCTCGGCCACACGCTGGCGCGGTGTACATTCACCGACCTTCAGTTGCGCGGGCCAGGGGGCGTAGTCGTAATGGAGGAGGACGTCAAGGGTCTCGAGGATCTTGCGAGACCATTTCTCAGCTTCGAGGAAATTAAAGAGATGGCAGGGCGGCGCCTAGCGCTCCAAGAAGCAGCGGAGGAGTTAGCTCAAGCAGCGGTTTCGCCACCCGCGCGAGGACAAATATCAGGGACGCAAGCCGCTATTTCACTTCCTGAGGTTACGAGCCCCAGTAGTGCTCCACAAGCGGAACAAGGGGAGAAGTTTGCTCACATGCAACCAGATCCGCGTCCAGCAGCACCACAGCCGTGGATCACCAAGCAGTCCAAAAAGGGACGATCGAGAGGTTCGTCTAAAGCGGCCACGGGCCAGGTAAAAGCGGTGGCCTCACAGGTGCGGACAGGAGGGCAGGAGCTTATAGGCGAGGATGGCGAGGACTGGGCCGAGGGAGACAAAAACTAGTTCGGATGCGTCGGAAGAGATCAGGGTGCTTCATTCACGGTCAGCCGGGGCACTTAATCCAACGGTGGGCTTATCTGACGGGGCCGGTACGCACTCGCTTCTTACGTCTTCCGAGAAGGCCCGGAAGCAACGGGGGGCTGGACGTGGGTCGGCTCCGAGTACGACGGGTCCAGTGCTGATGACTCTCAAGCGTAACGAGAGAGGATCCTTTCGACAATTGGTCGCGGATTTGGGTCGGCTGCCCAAGGCTCTGACGACAGTACGAGCACGAGCAACAGACGTCCCGACGGACGTAGCGGAGTTAACGTCCCAACTTGTGATTTACCCGGTAATCACACCGGCTACTACTAATTGTCTTGCCATGGCTATTGCCCAAGCGGCAACGGACGCGTCCCTGGACGGTCCAGACAGGCATCTGGAGCTACTGACAGCTTGCCTTAAACGGGGGATTAAATTGTCGGGCTTGCTGGATCTGGAGGATCAGTATGCTCACGATCATAGAGTTCATGCTGATGCTGGCTAGCGTCAGCAGAGGTTGGCCTACGATGACTCACAAGGAATCAGCTTCGCAGATACGATGGTACCTCGAAGACTATGCTACCAGCCCGTCCGCCCGAACGGCTCTGGTTGGTTCGGACACATGGGGGGGCTGCGATATGGTCGGCATGGCGGCCAATTTTCTACAACAGTCAATCTATGTTATCGAGTTTCTTACTGGCCAGACCCACCCGTGGCGCTGCCGTAAATTTGTACCCACCACGATCACCCGCCATCGGCGGAGGGTCGTGACGGCGGCGGAATGTCCGCTGGGAATTATGGACCTCATGGATGCAGTATTAGCGGCAAAAATTGAGGCACCCGGGCTCCCTCCTCTCGTATTGCGCTACCAGAATTGCCACTATTCCGCTATTAATCACTCTGGGAGTTCCAGTCTGTTGCCCGACTTGGTGGCGGAGACAACATCACTTGAGCAGACGGCTGCTGGTACGTCGGTGTGTCCGGTTACTCAGGAGGCGACGGCGCCTGTACCCGAGACGTCTGGACAGCTAGCAGGGATACTAGTCTTACGGGATGACTTTATCGACGCGTCAACGGAGGTCCTGAGTAGACATAGACCGGACGATTGCAACGCGCGAGCACTGGTGGAGCGGCAGGTTAGCTGTTCTACGATTCCCTCAGCGCCTCCAGCAAGGATGCGACCCCCTCCCCCCACTGATCGTAAAAGGGCGCTTGTGGCGTCTCAAATTTTGCAGATATCAGATGGGACGGACAGGTCGCAGCGCGCCAAGTAAGCGGTAGCTTAGAGAGAAGGCGAGACCCAGGGCCTCAGCTCCCCCCAGGCGATGAGGCAAACGAGCGCGTCGACCGAACGGACTGGGCAGCAGCGTGGGAGCTTATGGAATCGATGTGGCCAAACCCGAAACAGATTCCATTTCCTCTCGCCAGCAGCTCGACGTTAGAATGGCAGAGGGTCGCTGGTCATGTGCCCGATCACTTACTCTGGCTAGTAAAGAGGTTCACGTTTCCTGGTGAGCTTCTTCAGATCCTGGACCCGTCTGTTTTAGTCCATTGGATGGCGGAGAACCGGCACGGCTGTTTGGTAGATGGACTGCGGCTGTAACGGGGTGAATCGTTACATAACAATTTATAAGAAATTGTTAATAGAATATAACTATAAGAGTTATATTCTCAGAATATTGTCATAAGGACAAATATTCTGTAGCACTTCCAAGTAGTTCCTAATTGGTTGATATAGGCCATTATATCAACCAACGAAGACGCGCCACGACAGACGCACGCAATGAGTGGTGAGCAGATATTTGATTTACACATTTGTATTTAGACATAGTTAGATGAAGATAAATAGTGATTTATTGCAGACATTAACTATACTAAATACAGTTCTACTTTTTACTCTAACCAAGTACTCGCTTCTTCTTACCGTCTTCCTCTGCACGTACCAGTGTACGTGAAGTTACGAGGCACCGCCTTATTCTGTCATCAGAATAAGTAGCTTGTACTGTCACCAGTACAAGCTTCAGGGTGCCCCGTTACACCTGGTAGCACTTCGTAGTCCGTTCAAGGACCGCGTTCACATCCAATATGAATATGTTGGATGATGAAGATGACCAAAGCTTTCACGCTACGCGTGACGGCTACTCCCATTTGAGCGATGTCGAATGGGATGCGGTTGAACGGATGGGTTCGACCATGGGCATCCATGCTGTTAGCGTCATGCTAGAGGCTCTCAATAGAGATGCCCAACATGCTACTATCGCCAAGTTCATTCAAAATGAACTTGACGCAGAACGCAAGAAAGTAGCCTTGCTTCACCAACAAGGTTCTCAACAAGCAGAGTTGTTGAGAGAACAGGGTGCTCAACAGTTTGAACTGTTGAGACAGCAGCAGGCTGCTGCTGGTGGGTCGATGCACTCGCGTCGACCCGAAACCTTGAAGATTGACATCTCCAAGTATAGGGGGTCGAAGAAGACTCCCTCTTGAGATGGTTCGTCGAATTGGATGACGCCATAAGGGCGCGTCGCATCGACGACGGGGATATGCAAGTTGCATTTGCCCAGTCAAATCTGGTAGGACGTGCCAAGACTTGGGCACTGGGGCTCAAGTTGCACGACCCATATGCGTTTGGGTCGTTGGAAGTCTTCAAGTCGCGGCTCAGACAAACGTTTGAACCGCCTAGAGCTGAGTTCAGAGCTCGAACCGAACTCTTGAAGCTCAAGCAGGGTAAGCGTGATGTGCACGCTTACGCTCAACATATACGACATCTCACGAGTTGTATAAGTTCCAATCCGGTGGATGAACACACGTTGGTTTCGGTGTTCATGCAGGGTCTTGCGGATGGTCCCGTCAAGACTCACCTGTTCCGGATTGAACTAGATTCACTAGAACAAGCCATTTCCATTGCGGAGCAGGAAGACTTCAGTCTGAGACAGGCTCGCGCCAGCTCGACATCATATCGTCAACCGAGACGATATGACAACGGAGGTCCAGAGTCGATGGAACTTTGTGATGTAGAGAGCGAGAAGGCTCGCTCTACAGGCTACAAGAAGCTGCAGAGATGCAACAGATGTCAAAAGACAGGACACTACGCTTACGAGTGTAGTGCCTCTCGTCCAGTGTCTCGCGACACTGGGCGTAGTGACCGTCCACCCATGAGAAAGGGGCAGGGACGCGGGTCCGCAGTTGGTGCAAAGACGCAACAACGGGATGGACCGTCAAAAAACGGACAGGATCAGTAGGTGCGGAGCACCCTACTGATCCAGCAACGTCAAGAGAATTTGTAGGCCTCTTGATGAAGGTTGCTCCCAACACACAAACGTTGTGCGTTGCTGCTCTAGGTAATGAGGTATCACTCATTACCTTGAAACTCGAAGTGACGAATAAGTTGTCCCTTCGAGCTCTAGTCGATTGTGGGGCGTCCAACAATTTTGTGCGACGCCAATCGCTAGAAGATGGTCACTTTAAATTCAGTGAATGTGACACACCTCCTACGAGGATGACGGTACGTCTTGCGACAGGCGCATCCGTAACCGTCATGAAGCGTATAGTGAAGATCCACTATACGCTAGAAGATACCCAATATGACGATGACTTTATCGTATTGGATTTGGATGACAAATTTGATGTCATCCTTGGAATACCGTGGCTCAGAAGGTACGAACCACGGGTAAACTGGCAACATCGAACAGTAACGATGCCTGCCGCTTGTTCATCAGATGGCCATCTGATGAACGTTTTGGAGCGTCCACAAGCGTGTGGATGTACTACGAGTGAGTGCGATGGCCTCACTTGTGGTACGGTCGTTAGTACGACTGCACAAAACCTTAGTGTAACAAACAGTTGCACTTCGGAGCAAAGTTCCGGCGGCTGTGAGGAAACACAGGCTGCGCCGAAGGTCCACCACTCGAATAAGTCGGGTGGACTGGGACAAAGATGTATCCCTAGCGGGGAACATCTAGAAGAGAAACAATCGATCGCTCAGGTTAAGCGAAACGATAATCCTAGATCGACTGGAGAGTCTTTCGTAGAGGATCTCGCTGTGGTTGCGCAACCCCAGCTAGAGGAAGTAAAGGGAATAAGTCCCAAGATTACAAATACGGCGGAAATAAGTTCCCCGAAACCCGCGGGAATAAGTCCCCGGGAAGCCGAAGGAATAAGTCCTTCGAAGCCTGAGGGAATAAGTCCCCAGGAACTGACAGAGACATTGAATGTCATAGTCAATGACGGATCAAGTGTAGGCGCTTATACACTTGATCTGATTGCGCCTCCGAAGTTGACTTCGGAGATCACTCAGTTGCCAACGCTCGAACATAAAAGGTTCTTGCGTGATCTGCGTAGTGGCAAAGTCAAGCAGATCTGCATACTCGTCACTGACGACGAGTGTGTAACCAACATAAGGTCAGCAACAGTGTTCACTGAGAACGAGAGAGTTCTCAGTAGTTCATCTATGGACGAAAGTGTCCTAGATGAAAAGACACGAATTGAGCGATATGACTCCCAATCGTGGGAATCGCTCAAGAAAAATCCTCTCTATGAAGATTTGGTTGAATTCAAGGATGTATTCCCTGAAACTGTTCCGTGCGAATTACCGAAGGATAAAGGTATTCGACACGAGGTCGAGCTTAAACCAGGCTCGAAGTACTGTGTCATGAAGCAGTGGCCACTGCCTCGTGAACAAGTACTTGCGATCGACAAGTTCTTTGCCGATCGTTTAGCTGCGGGCCATGTGAGGGAATCAACTTCCCCACATAGCTCTCCGACCTTCTGTGTGCGAAAAGCAACAGGAGGGTGGCGGATAGTGCACGCGTTCAACAAATTGAACGCTGCAACGGTACCGGCTCAGACGCCGATACCAAGGAAGGACGTAATCATTGATGGTATGTCAAAGAGTACCATCTTTTCGTCCATGGATTTGATGGATGGCTTCTATCAAATCCTTATGCGGGAACGGGATATACCCTATACCGCAGTTAGCACGCCTAGCGGCATGCTCTGGGAATGGCTAGTAATGCCACAAGGGCTTAGTAATGCCCCTGCCACATTCAACAGATGTGTATCGCATCTGTTGAGACCAGTACGAGAATTCGCGCCGAGTTATTTCGATGACATATTCATCCATAGTCGAGCTATGGATGGAAAGTCGGACGTTGAGGTTCACAGGTACCACGTCCGACAGGTTCTTACAATCATGCGAAAGCATCAATTGTATGCTAACCTCAAGAAGTGTGTATTTGCAGCAAGCGAAATACCACTTCTTGGGTGCATCGTTGGTAAGAACGGTGTACGTCCTGATCCCGAAAAGATCAAGGCGATCACCGACTGGCCTGTGCCGGTTGATGTCAAAGGTCTTCGAAAATTCCTTGGGCTAGCGGCGTATTTGCACAAGTATTCACGCAATTACGCCGAGATGACTGTGCACCTCTCTCCTTTGTTGAAAAAGAACGAGAGGTGGTTATGGAACGCTGAATGTCAGCGCTCCTTTGAGGGTATCAAGCAGAGCTTGAT